GGCAGGCTGAGGCAGGCTGAGCTGAGGCTGAGGAGGCTGAGGCTGAGGCTGAGGCTGAGGCTGAGGCTGAGGCAGGCTGAGGCTGAGGCTGAGGCAGGCTGAGGCTGAGGCTGAGGCAGGCTGAGGCTGAGGCTGAGGCAGGCTGATGCTGAGGCAGGCTGAGGCTGAGGCTGAGGCTGATGCAGGCTGAGGCTGAGGCAGGCTGAGGCTGAGGCCGAGGCTGAAGGCAGATTGAGGCTGAGGCTGAAGCAGGCTGAGGCTGAGGCAGGGGCAAGCTGAGGCTGAGGCTGAGGCAGGCTGATGCTGAGGCAGGCTGAGGCTGAGGCTGAGGCTGATGCAGGCTGAGGCTGAGGCAGGCTGAGGCGAGGCCGAGGCTGAAGGCAGACTGAGGCTGAGGCTGAAGCAGGCTGAGGCTGAGGCTGAGGCAGGCTGAGGCTGAGGCTGAGGCTGAGGCTGAGGCTGAGGCTGATGCAGGCTGAGGCTGAGGCAGGCTGAGGCTGAGGCCGAGGCTGAAGGCAGACTGAGGCTGAGGCTGAAGCAGGCTGAGGCTGAGGCTGAGGCAGGCTGAGGCTGAGGCTGAGGCAGGCTGATGCTGAGGCAGGCTGAGGCTGAGGCTGAGGCTGATGCAGGCTGAGGCTGAGGCAGGCTGAGGCTGAGGCCGAGGCTGAAGGCAGACTGAGGCTGAGGCTGAAGCAGGCTGAGGCTGAGGGCTGAGGCTGAGGCTGAGGCTGAGGCAGGCTGAGCTGAGGCAGGCTGAGGCTGAGGCTGAGGCTGATGCTGAGCTGAGGCTGAGGCTGAGGCTGAGCAGGCTGAGGCTGAGGCAGGCTGAGGCTGAGGCTGAGGCTGATGATGAGGCTGAGGCTGAGGCTGAGGCTGAGGCTGAGGCAGGCTGCTGAGGCAGGCTGAGGCTGAGGCTGAGGCTGATGCAGGCTGAGGCGCAGGCTGAGGCTGAGGCCGAGGCTGAAGGCAGACTGCTGAGGCTGAAGCAGGCTGAGGCTGAGGCTGAGGCAGGCTGAGGCTGAGGCAGGCTGAGGCTGAGGCTGAGGCTGAGGCTGAGGCTGAGGCTGTGACTGCGACTGCCGTCGCCACTGCGACTGTCATCGCGAATGCGACTACGACTGCGAGAACAGCAGAATTCTACAACTGGATTCTCATCCGAATCTTAAGGGGAATGCTTCCAAATGTGCTCCTACACATCGATGTTAGGTTGCTTTGCCGGGATAATCCGCTTTTTCACTGTTTAACATTCCAAAGATGGTGCCTTGATGCTTTTTCCAGCTGGTAACATTTGCTGAAATCAGTGTAAGCTTCGTCATGGCTTTCATCTCCTGGGACTTTTGGATTGTCCATCTCTGCGTCCCCTCTGCCTTGCTTGGCTGAGTTGATCTGCGAGTTGCTCTCTCTCTCTCTCTCTCTCTCTCTCTCTCTCTCTCTCTCTCTCTTTTTTTTTTCTGCTATTGACGCCATTTCATTTTGTAAGTTTGCTTTTAGCTCCAACACCTCTTGCATTGATGCTTCCAGTGTGGATAGCCCGCTTCCCCTTGCTTCCAGTGAGGCTTCTACTGCTGCTACCGGTGCTTGTGGCTGCGGTGCTCCTCCTCCTCCTCCGTCTGCTGCTGCTTGTTCTTGCTGTCTCATTGTTGGTGCTCGTCGTGGCGGCTGATAAAACGAACCATTCTTCTGCTCCAGAACTGAGAAAGCGAACTGCTGCATTTTTGCTGTTGCTAATGCTGCTCCTTTACCCGTGATCGAGCTTGCTGCTTTTTCTTTCGTGAAACCTTCGAAGAAGACCTCTGACTCGTCCATGGGCTCGTCGTTTGCGTCCTCATCCTCCTCCTTTGTTATCGTCACCAGTGTGTTTCCAATAGTAAACGTATCTGATGAAGGTATTTGATGTGCTCGTACTTAGACCCTATTGTATTTGCCCCGTCTTGTTGCCGCAGGATACTGCACCGCCACTCCCAGTGCGCCCAGTAACAACTTGGGCATGCGGCATAGCCTGCGCAGGGTACGAAGCTGGAACTTTATCCAGGAAAAATATTGTTACTGGTGGGGGTTCTTTTTCTCGTATCAGTCTCCACCCTTCTGCGTTGTCTCTTTTCGCCAATCGTAGTCGAAAGCTCACCCCATCTCGATTTAGACGTAGTCCATATGTTTCGCCCTCAATCTTATCCAACTCTTCCCTGCCCTCGTCCACCGTGCAGTAACCTGAAGACTTCGCTGCCAAAGGAAGCCGCGTTTCCTCCTGGCGATCCTTCATCTTCCCAGCGTCATCGTAGCCACACGCGTCCGTGGACAAGCCGTCCTTGCCCGAATGCTTCCTGAGAAACTCTCGCACTTCCTCTGTCGTCGTTATGTCCACTCGCAGTGTTCGTGCTGTTTTGATCTCACCCTCATACTGCTTTATGATGTTAATCGTGGTGTCCATCTCCTCTTTTGTGGCTTTGCCGTTCTTGAGTTGCTGCAAATGTGCCTGGAGGTAGGATTTTGTGTCCTGATTGGCTTCTCTAACAATGCTCCATAGCTGCTTTTTGCCTTCTTTTGAATTATCGCTGCTTTTTAGCTTGCCGAGGGCCTCTGTTGCTGCTTTTTGATTCTTATACAGTTTCTTGAATATTGTCTCGCCGTGGCACTCGCTCACCGCAGCAATCATGTTCGTGAATTGTGTTGCCCAGCCTGGTGCCTTTGGTGCTGCCGTCGCCATCTCCAGTCGAGGTGGTTCTGCATCATCCACTGCTGATAGTGTCCAGACCCATCCTTCTCTCGTTTGTGCCACCTCCTTGTGTTTCCCTTCTTTCTTGGTTGTCTTGAGAATGGGGATCTGGATTGGTGTCGGGTTGATTTCATATGCCGGCGTTGCCGCCTTCAGTGCCGATGAAGGTGTCGCTGTCGTGATCAGTCTATAGTTCGCACGGTTCAGGTCGACCCCATCCAGGTTTTCCATCAATGGAATTGCTTTGTTATCTGTCCGTGTTAGATAAGCTCCATTCGTCGTCGACGTAGGCGGCGTATTCAATATTGAAACATTCCACACATCTCGCAGCCGAACTCCGTCTTCATGAAGTTTGTCGCCTTTTAGTGGGCGTGGACTCGATTGAGATTCCACCTTCTTCTTTTTCTTTTTTCGGTGGTTCCTCGTCTTGTCCGTTTTGTCGTACTTGCCATTGTTCCAGTTGTTTTTTGGTTTCGTCTTTGTCTTTGTGAAATTGCTTCGGTATCTGATTGAATATTTTCGGACCCGACGCCAATGTGTTTTTCATCTCGCTGTTCATCTTCATGTCCATTGCACTGCACAAGATAGATACCGTCCGTGTGTTGGCTGTAATCCGTGCCGCTTTCCCCGTCTTTGGTGAGTAAGTGGCCGTGTTACCATGAAGTGCATGATGCTCGCTCTGATTCTCTTGGGGTGTCTTGTGGCTCCTTGCGCCCCGTACTTTGCGGTACCATGTCTGCGTCATTGACTTCCCCAAGTATATCTGAGTTTGCGCCCAGCAAAACTCGAGAACGCCCCTCTCCACTCGCGCGTTGTATACCTCCTTGCGACCAAGTCCAGCAAGGAGGGGCCCTGGGAGAGGGAACGTCCTCGCGGCGACTTTGAGCCAGGACGAACCTGGACTTTGTAACATATTACCCATCCCAGAAAATTCTTCGTCCTCTGCGATGCTCTTGTTTGTAGTAGTTTATGAGTAATCTCCCATCCAGCCGTCGTCCTCTGGGTCGCTCATGTTTGAAATCATCTCTGAACCACTCCAGGATACACTGGTGATTCCCTCATCGTTCCTTTCACGTAACGTCCTCGAACCTCCCTGCATATACTTGTCCTCTGGGTTGCTCGTGTTTGTATATCCCCAAGATTCAACTCCATTGAAGTTGTTCACCTTTGTGATATTCATGTCCGTGATGACCTCTGAGCTGATCTGAAAAAATTGAAGTCCTCCTCGCTGCCCATGTTCGTCGTCTCTTCTGTTTTGTCCTTCATACGTAGATCTTGACCAAAACTTGAGGTGCTCTCTGAGCTTTCCCACATACGTAGGTCTTGACCAAAACTTGATGTATCTTTTGAATTCTCCCGCATCCGTAGATCTTGACCAAAACTTGAGGTATCCTCCTGATTCTCCCGCATACATAGATTTTGACCAAAACTTGGACTCCGCCCTGGGCGAGCATCCATCTTCATGTTCGTCAAGCCGTGGCTTGACATCCCCATCCATTTGACCAATACGCATATCGGTCGGCACATCATGTAGTTTTTCTTCATGGTCCCCGTGACCTGGAGAAGGTAGTCGTTCATGTTGAGCAAGCCGTAGCTCATCATCCCCAAAACTGTGATCAATACGCATATCGATCGGTACAGACCAAATATCTTTCCTTTGACCCCTGGAAAGATATCGTCCTCCTTCTTCTGGTTCACCTGGCTCATCGAGAGCTCTTCTTTGTCTTGTTGGTACTTATTCTGATAAGTACTAATGCCTTCCCCATGTACTTGGATCGGGAGCGCCCCTGGTAGCTCCTTTTTACCCCAGTTCTTTGAATTCAAAACCTTGCTGAAGGTCTCTGCCAGCACGTCGATCTCGATGATCTTCGTGCCGAGTCCCACCGCCATGACCTTGAATTTGTTCCCGTCACGGAACCCCTCGGTCAAGGGCGCCTTCATCTCCAGCTCAACCACGTAGCCGAAGTGGTGTATATCGGCAGGTCAAAAATGAGCCCTGAGACATGAGGCTCTGTCGAAGAGGCCACGGGAAAAATATAAAACCTGGAAGTCCTTTCCTGTCCTCAAAGCCCCATCTTGGCCCCCCGACGAAGAGAACTGGAGGACTCGCGGAAAGGGGGATGAGGAGGAGGGGGAGGAAAGGAGTAGAAGGAGGAAGAGGAGGAGGAGAAGGAATGAACAGGAGGAGAAGGACTGAGGAGCGAGGGGGAGGGCGAGGGATGACGAGTGGAACCTATCTGCTTGGCGCTGTTGAAGTCCCCTATCTTGACCACGGTGGCCCCGCTGCTCAGAAGCAGGTTGTCCGGCTTGATGTCTCTGTGGACGATGCGGACGCTGCCCGCAGCCCCCCCCTCCACTGGAGGGCGCTGAGGCGTCGCCGCCCCCGTGTCTTCGTCCTCGTCGTCGTCCTCGGGTCGTCGTCGTCATGGTCCCGGCCTCCACCGGTCTGTAAACTGCCCCCGTCCAGCGCTCGAACCTCCCCACCTCCTCCTCTCATGCTGTAGCTGTATGGGGCCCGCAGAGGCCTTGCAGAGGCAGCAGGGCGCGCCGCCTCCCAAGACATCGATTTCGGACCCCCCCCCGCGCCAGAGCGTTCGAAAACCACGTCCCCGGGAGGTGGTGGGCGCGCACACGTGGGAAACCTCGGGGCCGCTAGGGCCCCCCTCTTGCGCGCTCGAACTTTCGGACGCTCAGGCGCTGGGGGAGGCCAAAGTCGAGGTACTTTGGCGGCGTTCCTGTTGCGGCCTTTTTTGTTGGTTCCACGCCTTACCATTACGGCGAGGGGGGCGTCGGGAAAGGGCTTACATGCGTTACCCCCAGGAGCTACGAGTGTAATACCAGTAATAGAATGCAAAACAACAGTGATAGTAACACTCGTACCAATCATACGAATAGCTGGAATATGGAAGCATGGTCCTGGTACTCATGGCGGGCAGATAACACGAAACAGTAATAGTAGTGATAGTACGAGCGATAATAATAGTAGTAACAGTATTAGTAATAAGCGTTTCGTGGTCTCATAGGGAACCCCATCGGAGGCCCCAGTGGGGGTGGCCACATGCGTCCGCCACACCCAGTACAGCGTTTCGTGGCTAGGGGGACCGTCCGCATGCGTCCCGCACACCCAATTTGGCATTTGCACCTACCCATTGCAGTTTTCTCGTGGCCCCATAGGGGACTCCACCGAAACCTCCACTGGAACCGCCCGCATGCGTCCCGCACGCGCAATTTTACATTTTCACCCAACCAGTATAGGGCTTCGTGGCCCCAATAGGGAACTCCACCGAAACCCCCACTGCGACCGCTCACACGCGTCCCAACACACCCAATTTGGCATTTCCACCCACCCAGTACACCGTTTCGTGGTCCATTGGAAACTCCACCGAAGCCCCCTGTGGGACCGCCCGCATGCGCCCCGCACACCCAATTTGGCACTTTCACCCACCCAATACAACTTTCGTGGCCCCACAGGCGGAAACTCCACCGAAGCCCCCAATAGGACCGCCCGCCTGCGCCCCGGAAACCCAATTTGGCATTTTCACCCACCCAGTGCAGCGTTTCGTGGCCACAGAGGGATCTCCACCGAAGGCCCCCAGCGGGACCATCCGCACGCGCCCCGGAAGCCGAAATTGGGCATTTACGGGAGCTCCACCGAAGTGCCCAGTGGGACCGTCCGCATGTGCGCGTAAAAGGGGGACGGCCGAGGGGCTTTTCCCATACGGTGTCCGTAGGTGGAGGCGAGGAGTAGGACTCCTTTTCCACGGCGCTGCGCAGCCAGCAGTGCACTGTTGTACTTTAGCCAATGCCTGAGCCAATACAACTGCGAAAGAAGGGATATAATAAAGAAGCGGGCGGACTTCGCACACGCGCGCACACGCACGCACACACGCACGCACACGCACCCCGCCCCGAAACCTGCCAGCCCCCGATGGCCTCGGGCCCGCGGCAGACGACGGCAAGGATCGGGAACAGAGGTGCGAGGTCCACTCGCAGCCCCGTTCTATGCACCGCCCCTCCAAACGAGGGCGCATTGGCTAGGACATGTGGTAGACGGGACCAACCCCGTCACGCGGGGCACTTGGGAGTCCACCCGCCTTTAACAAGCCCAGGGTGCGCCCCAAAAACGCCCGGGCACTCCTGGGCGACACGCTGCCACCACAGGTGACAGGGATGGGAGGGCAGGGGAGAAAGAGAAGAGAGGTGGCACCAGCATCCCTCGATGCAGGCGTTGCCACCGACGCAGGGATCAGAGTTGTGACGACAACTCAATCAAGGCAAATAACAACTCTCATTGACGGGGCACGCCAGGCCCAAAAAGATTGCCAGGGCACTCCAGGCCCAATTCTGATAAGTATTCGGACAGTTGTGATGACGACCGATCCCTGATAATGTTTCACGCATGGTGTGAGGCGCTCCAGGCCCCAAAGGTGCTTTGACAAGTGAACAAAAGCAGGATCGTTGGTAATGCTTTGCATCGGTCGTGCACTGACGCCGCCCCATGATAAAATACACGCTGACGCATGTGTAATATTACTGGCGGGCGACCTGCCTGGGCGCGTTGATGTCCGATTGCCAGACCGCATTATGTAAGCCCAAATCGGCATCGACATACAGTGCAACGTCACAAATATCACATCAATTATTACAAATGCCAATCTGTCTCAATATACATATGAAGGATAAACTGAACGAGACCGAATCAATCTCCAGAGTCGTTGGTGATATAATCTACATCAGGATACGCAATAAAGTAGACCAGACAATACGCACGTCCTGTTCCCGTAGTAACGCTCATTCCAAGAGCGATGTCCGTAGTCATTAGAGCGGCTGATAGTGATGGTCTGATAGTTGACCGATGACCATACACATTCAGTATCGTCGCCGTCGACATAGATCCACTGGGACAAGTAGTGTGACCAGTGAGGATACGTGCCATGTTGGTAGCGCTGAAGGTCGCGACGCCACCAACTGTAGACGTTGCGGCACTCGCGCACGGCACTCCTGCTGCGGCCACGCTCGTTATTGCCGTCGCGCTCGCGTCTCGGTGGTGTCAGGGGGCGGCGCGACGTCGATGACTGAGCAGCGCCACCTGTCCAGCCCGCAGCGTCAGCCCAGCCGGCGCCGCCAGGGGCATGGGCGGGAGCGGGGCCACCGCGACGCGGGGGGGGGAGCTGGGGCGAGGCGAATGGGCTCATCAGAGGCAACAGTAAAGTCACCCACATTACCCCTTGCAGCGCCTTTGGGCACCTGCCTCTGGAGATCATCCAACGCAACGCGGCTCATCTGACCTCGCCCCCTCCCAGACGGAGCAGAAAAAAATACGAGCCCGCGGTCGAGCCGTTCGCCGCGAGGCATCGCTCCGGGAGCCTGTGTCCGCCAGCCTGCGTTGCCGAGCTGCTGACTCTCGCGGGGCAGTCGCATGCCCTCGTACATATCATCTGTCGTAAATGAGCGCTGATGCGTCAGCAGTCTGCCGTCGGTCATCTGACGGTGGAAGATGCCATCTTCCAGAAAGCGATGGGCCAAGTCGGGGCACGGGCGAGAGAGGACGGCGCCCTCTATGTCAGCGTGCTCTTGTCCACCGACGCGACATCCAGCCTCGAACCAATTGGCGCGCCGGTTCGCGGCTTTGTTAGCCAGTCTGCGCAGGTGGCCCTTTTTCAGTGGCAGCATCAGAGCGTTGGCCCTGCACGCGAATCTGGACATCCGCACGCATAAGTTCGCGCGCGATGTTCTCGTCTATTTGATCGCGGATCCAGCTGTGCACGTCAGCCAGTACCTGGACCTGGAACGCACCTGTTCCCCCATGCCAAAATGACTCAGTGCATATGTGGCACAGGTCATCTTAATTTGGGTCGTCATTGATGAGGTCGCGGTAGCAGCTGGTGCAATTGCGCTTTGCGGTCTGACAGTCAGCCGCTCCGTTTTGAATCAGCTGCTGAATTCGATTGCGGGCGTTGCCACCAGCGCCCAACTTTCGGCCGATCTCACGAACGGTGCGATTCGGAAAGAGGTGGGCGCGGTCGGTGGCGAGATCGCCAGCCAAAGATTGCAAACCCTTATCGGTGATGGGACCAGAGAGATCCCCATCCATGACCTGGTCGCGATCACGGTGTGCTGATGATCTCGTCGGAATTTCTCCGCTCTGCGGCGAAGCTCCTGAATCAATGCATCCTCGTCGGTGGCGTCGCCCATGCCATCGTCGTAGTCGGAACCCATCGCCTCCATGAGTTGTTCCTGGGTGGGGGCAGCGGCCGGCGCGACGCTTCCAGGGTCAGCGGCAGGGATGTTATCTTCAGTGGGTGGCGGAGCGGCGTCAGCCCTGAAATTAAATGATTCTCTGATCGGGTCCGTCAGCACGTCGCCGTTCTTCGGGTCGGAGAGCACCGTCGGTTCCCAGAGGCTGAGGAGGGACGCCAAAGCTGGATGGATCTTGAAGATGTCCGCTGCAGGTGTCTCCACAAGACGAAGTGCAGCATCGCCCTGAGTAACGGCGAACAGATGTGGGAGCCAACGAGAGAACACGAAATCCTCAGTGTCGTTCCAACTCATCCCCGTCATCATCGTAAATAAAAACGGTTGTGGCCACGTATATTCGGTAGTTCTTTGGCCCATGGACTGCGCGAGTTGAAGTTCATATTGCACAAATCCGCCTTGGGGTCAAAGCGGGGCCGTATCCCAAAATGACTATCATAGTAGCATGTGTCTCTGCATGTTGGCGTATACACCAGCTCCACCTCGCACAGTGGGGCCTGCAACATTCCAACGTCCTGTGTATTTCTGCCAGTCGCACGAAGGCCCCTCAGTTCCGCCGTCGAACATCTGACAAACGTGGAAAGAAATACCTCGATGACTTCGATCGTTGTGATCAGCTTTGTCTCATCGATCTTGATGTCCTGATTGCCGTTATGTTGAAGTGCGGGCGTTTGCGCCGACTTGTCGATAGCGGTATCGTCGTCGAGAAATTCAAGGTGGAGGTCGACATCGCATGAGCCGCTGTGGTCACTGAATATGTCGGACAGCTCGGCATGCAGTGGAACTGCGGAATAAAACGCGATGTTCGGTGTTCTTCTTCTCGGCGTACCAAATGTTGGCCCAGAATGGGCCACGACCCCGAGACGGGATCTGCACGCTGACGCATGGTCCATTGCGAACGATGTCGAGAATGGCTCCGTAGATATTCTCTTTACCCAGCGTGAGTGCGACATCTTTCTTTGATGGCCACGCGCGATCAACGGCGCGGCAACGGGCAGCACAAAGCGGTCGTGTGTATATGAAGTCGCGTACGCGGATGTCTCGAAAGCGACTGCAACGATCCCAGGTGCCAAGAGGAA